TTTGGGAATATGAAAAGTAATATTTATTTTTTTTCAAATCACAGGCAAAACAATTATACAAAAATTATATAAATACAATGTTATCAATTTTTTTGCCATAATACGTGACCGTTGAAAAAAAAAAGTTTGTTGATTACAAAATATAAATTTTTTTTAAAAATACGGTACTGAGGAAACAAAAAAAATGTCGAAAATAATATGATGCTAGATTTTTTTGCATATTTTGGGTGTAGAGCACAAAAAAAAGACCCAAAATTATAAAGTTACAACTTTTTTTCTTCTGCTACCCCCGATTGAATTACATATGGACCAGAGAATAGCGCACCAAGGACCTCTGGACCATGGCTAGGACCGACCCCTGAAAAAAATCAGCATCATCAGCATCCACGCAGGATTGTTACGTTTGTCAACTTTGCGCACCCCTTTAGGGTCATGCATAGTCAAATTTGAATTGACCAAACAAATCCCTTCTAATTTCAGTCGGGTTGCTGCTGCTGTTGTTGTTATTGTTGCTGCTGCGGCACCGCACAGGCGCAGAAGATTTAACGCCGGACGCTGTGCAGCCTTTGGACAAAAGGTAAACGGGTTTTGAATTTCATATGCCACACATGCACACTGCATGTTCCTAGGTATATCTGTGGATGTGTGTATGACCCATCTATCAGCGGAAGCTGCAGTGCAGCTAAAACTACAAGTCATTTGAAATTTTTAATAGACGTTACATCCTTTTGTCGACAAGAAGCAAAATAATACGAATAAAAATAAAAATTAAAAAAAAAAAACTGGTTAAAAAAAGTGAAAGCCCTAGTCCATACTCGTTGGTCCAAGACCCAACCCCTTAAAATAAATAAAAAAATAAATTCTCTCCCTTGCGCGTTGCATGGCATCCTTTATTAAAAAATGTCTTGCGTAGCAGGATATATATTTTTTTAATTTTCACAATTTATTTTCAAAAATTTATCTCTTGCCTCGCACTTTAGGACAGTGTACTTTTTGAGATTTATGAGATTTGGAGATGGATATTTCGAAAACAAAAAAAATAAATGCACTCTTAAATTTGAAGTGAGTCATGCGATGGTCACTTTCGAATCTAACCCTTGCAAATAGCTCAACTGACCGTTGGCCCAAGGTCGGACTCGCACTCAAGTCACGTGTTCCATCATTTGTATAATAATTTGTTAAGCAATCATTTACTCTATCCCTTCTACAGAAGGGGTCAACAAAGATGGCACACGCTCTTCTGATGACAATGGCAAATCGGAAATACACGCAGACTGTTAATACCCACATACATTAATTACTTTTGCTTTGTTATGTAAATTGTGCAAATTATATAAGGCTCTAACAGCTCGAATCCGTTGCAGCGGTAGCCGATTCAAACATTGCATTCTCAATATAGTGAATTTAATATCTCCGGCACTATAAATCAATACAGGTGTCTGCATTTCTTATATTTGGGGATTACTCATTGCAAAACATTTTAAATATGTTACTGTATTTATTAAAATATTTAATTATGAAAATTTTTTCATAATATTCATCTTTAAAAAACTTTTAGCTGGAGCGATTATAGTCCATAGAATATACTCAAACACTTGAATCTGTTCTTATCAATTTCCTTTAAAAATTACTAAACCATTATATTGTCATTAATTAATAACAGAGGAAAAATCGTGAATTTGGTGTCTCAACCGAACTGTTATTAAATTTCAAAAATTCGGAATTGTTCTTAACTGTTACAGGGCTCAGTAGGCTACACCACTGTTAAAAGGCTTGGAGCTGCTTTGCTCGTTTTATTTTGTCTACTGTAAGATAGATAACAATGTAAAAAATGCAAGATTTTTCTAAATACATAACATACCGCTTTGCATAATCTACTCAACCGGGGACTACACCGCGATATCAGGTCAATCGTGATAGTGATGCTTTACGATTTAACAGTTATTTTATGTAAATCGGTCTGTATGGAATGTACAGATAAAAGCGCATGCGTCCAAATGATTCAAAATTACTCTGTTTAAAGCAATTAATATTTAAGTTCGATGCCGTTACTGCCGAATTTATTAATAATATTTAAGTTCGATGCCGTTACGACCGAATTTATTAATCTTTATTTAATGAGGTATTTATTTCCCTATTTTCAAACGTGTTGATTTGAAATATAAATATTATTTGTTTCCTCTTAACCCATAGCATTATATCTTATTACTTGTTAATTTTGAAAAAAAACCGTTAATGGTATTTAATCCGACTAGGATAAGCTGAGGATTGGGATTGTAAAGCATAACAGTGCTAAAACCATTTTCGTTAACCATTTTCCGAAAGTATAGTGTCATACCGTTAAATTAATAGACCTCTTTTCTTATTCAAGAAAATATACTAAATGCGCCAAAGTAGAAATACTAAAATTGGTATACTTTTACCTCAGCAAATACAGCTGTTATTTGACCATCTCGAAGAGTTATCGATAGTGTACGTCTAACAAATTTATCGTAAATAGTTATCGGAGCCAAAATTGATTTAGATATTGAAAATGATACAAAGTTTTTCAACGTTAAAACCATGGACTTGGTAGAAAAGTAAGTATATAAAAGTCTTTAAAAAATTTTGAGACAGTCAAATTACAGGTTATATAATTTAATTATAGACTTCGGCGGAGCAACGAAAAAAACCCAAAAAATAAAACAAAACTATTTTCATATATCTTTATCAAGGGAAGTAGACTAAGCTTTATGATAAGACGAGCAAATGCTAATGGAGCAAAAGACATTGGCCACACAGGAGTTTATAAATTTTACATTATTACTTTTTTGTGCGTATTTACGTATTACTTTTCCTGATGAGCAGCACATCCCGATCAGCTCATTTTTATACCCTGAACCCATTGATAATGGGAAATTAGGGTATAATGGTTTTGTGAAAAGTATGTAACAGGCAGAAGGAATCAACGCAGACCCCATAAAGTATATATATTCTTGATCAGGACGACGAGCTGAGTCGATATAGCTTTGTCCGTGCGTCCGTCCGTTCGCCCGTCCGTATGAGCAAAAGGATCTCATATAAGAGCTAGAGAGCCGAAATTTTGCCTCAACCAAAATTAAAGAAAAATAGCAAAAAGACCCTTTAGCGCAGCCAGTCGAGCGCAAGGACACTTTTGCCACAACTAAGTGCAGCTGGCCAAGGTCAGGGGCAATTAGGTTAAATGATATTGATGATGATGATGATATGACTGAAAATCGTAGGTCTATGATCAGCTGGTCGTTAGTCTGAGGGGTGGGTCTCCGTATGAATTTTGTCTTTACTTCTTCTAATTTTCTCACATTTTTACACAAATTCTTTTCTATTTTCGGCGGATTTATATTTACTAATAAAGCACTTAATACGATTATATATGCAAGGACTTGGTCAACTCTATGTTATCAACCTGCTTGCCAGGAGGTCATGTTAGGTTGCTCACTTTATTTATGCATTAGGTATTCCTGTAACTGTAAGTGAATTCATATTTTCCCAAAATGATGAGCATGTCGCATTCCCGCGAAATGATCGTATCAGTTGTTATTTGTTGCAAGTATGTGAGACAGACATTATCTAACCGTTCTGCAATAAAATCTCAATTTCGCAAAAAATAAACATACGATCATTTCGCGGGAATGCGGCGATATCTCTTTGCAGCATGTATCGTGAGCGATGTAGTTGCTTGATTGATTATCCCACGTACAACTTTCTTCAGCACTTTCTTCGCACGAACTATCGATCATTAATTTAAGGGGTTGCGTTTTTGCTGGCTATTAAAAGTTTCAGATTTCCAGTTTAAGAAAAGTAGGAAATGGCATCAAAAAACGAGACTATTTTACGGCAAATCCTTTAACGGANCACGAGTATGCATGCCAAATTTCAGCTCTCTAGCTCTTATAACTTCTGAGATCGACGCACTCATACGGACGGACGGACGGACGGACAGACGGACAGGGCTATATCGACTCAGCTCGTCGCGCTGATCAAGAATATATATACTTTGTGGGGTCTGCCACGCCCCCTTCTGCCCGTTACATACTTTTTCACAAAACCATTATACCCTGATTTCCCATTTTCAATGGGTTCAGGGTATAAAAACTGTTTGGTGACAAACAGTAACGTAATATTGCATTCGATTGCTCATTATTTGCCTTACCTTATATATTAATAATAAAACACGTATTGTTATTAATCACGTTCGCGTATTAATAAAATGTGCATGAATAATTTTTTTACATGAGAGCATGACCGAAAACTGTCACTGTTATCAAGCCTACTGAGTAAATTCTCAATGACAATGCAAAGACTCTCAATAGCAATAGGGAAAATAACAAATTTTTCAAGTATTCATCAATTTTTCAGTATTTTTATAATATATACTGCTATTCGGGGCGGAGASAAATCCAACAAATCAAAAACCATGCAAATTGGTCCAGCAGATCTCGAGCTATAACAAACCCGACTTTGTTTTATATATAGAATATTGGAGCTTACCTCCTTCGTGAAACGAACGTGAAACGATAAAACTGATGCTGATACATCATACATGCATACATCATACATGATACATGCTGATACATCATTTTATAACCTTTAGTTTATTACAGTTGATCACAGCCAACAAAAAAAAAAAGTCGGTTATAGAAATATTAGATCATAGATATAAACACTTCTGGCTTTCCGCTTTGGGACAATGGAAAATGTATAATCAAAAAATCTGAGATTGTTTAWGAACTATAAATTTAATTAATTAAATGCTTACAGGCATCAGTAATTACAAATTGTTATTTAATCATAATTATATTAACAGCGTTCACTTCTAGTCTACCGTTTAATCAAATCAAATCACAATTTTTTTATTTTGGAAAATGTTAAATAAATTAAATAATTTGTATGATATATACAAAAATTATATGACTCTTATGGAAATATATTATATTTCAAAATTTATTAAAATGAAAATCAAATAAAATAAAATTTTCGTTTACGCTCCAGTTCATATATCTTAAAACTTTGATCTATTTACAAGTATCTACAAAATATATATACATAAATATTTCTAAATTTCATATTCATACATATGTAGACGTAGATGTGAATTTAAAATTCACTTAAGTTTAATAATTTAATTTATATAAATATCAACAAATGTTAATAGCTTATAGATAATGATCCCATTTGCCCAATACAGCGGCCTTCTTCATCAAAGGTGGCCAAAGTCAATCGAGACAGCTTATTACACAATATTCCATTGCCCGTGCTTTGAATAGGGTTCGGCTCTAAAAAAGAGAATGTATTTTTATTATATTAGCAGAGGCTCAATCAAGAATTAACAACTTGGAGCAATCCAATCGGGATGTTGAGGTAAAATATGCAAAAAATTAAATAACTTATCTACAAACATTTACAAATATAAACAGATTTGATTTGATGATCACTTTAAAACAATTCTATTCTTACTTTAAATTTAGGTTCGTCTTTAATAATACTAATTTGCAATAATCTTCGATATATTTCAATTTCAATTTTTCTTAGCAATGTGGGAAGACTAACTTACCATCATGGCATTGCTCAGTCGAACCTCCTTCTTGTTTTCTTTTACGCATTTGCCCAGTAAAATGGGATATAAGAGCATCAATCATAGCAGCTTGCTTTGAAAACACTTGAACAAGCTTGGATATCTGTACTCCATTTTCAATAGCGTCAAACTAAAAAAATCAATGGTCATTTGTTTTCAGATTGCATACACAATTTTAAACACAAACCTGCAAGAATATACATGTAAGACACTCCAGATCATCATTGGCACTTGGCTTAGCATAATCCCATGACAAATCTTCATATCGGAGACCCAATAAGAGAGTCTACAAATATATGAAATATAAATGTTAATACAAATAATAATATAACCCAACTTAACAAAATAATAAATATTTTGAAAAAAAAAAAGAAAATGTGGGTATTATGTATTTGTAATAATTATTTATACTATAGGCTTATATAGAAAATAGTACATTACATTCTCGAAGCAGTCTATAATAAAAACTCCTCTTTCATTGACAGCAATTAATACTTCCATATCCTTATGGTTAACTAAAGACATAATTCCTCTCACTGGCTGTTCTATTTGTCCGTGGAAAAAGGCCGCCCTGTAATTAAAATATATATGTACATATTAACCTTCAGTCTTAAAATATGAAAAAAAAAAAAAAAAGCATTTTAAAAATTAATCCTTATATGTAAATCCTAGCCTATTAGAATTATCAAATAATTGTTGACCTTCATACAACATACGGCAAAAACATTTTTTGTTTCAAAAATATTAATTGAAAATTTCACACCTTTTATTTGTGTCACCTGTTCTGCCTTACTTAATATGGTTTGTACTCAACATAACTTCCAGATTATTTCGACTTTTGAGCTATAAAATTAATTTCCTGTCCACCTTAAGCATGCTGAACTCAATACAGCATATAAACACAAAATATTGCCCGGCATATAAAGATATATAAGATCCATCATTGCATTATTTAGAAAGGGAAGCACGTATAAAATATAAGGAAAGAAAATATAATATGGAAATTCGATGAATTTGAGAAAGAAAATGATAAACTTGTACTACATTACACATTATACACTATGCAGTGAATATGTAGGGTCCATCTCTTATTGCATGTGAGATTCCTATCTCTATACGGATAGACAGATGGCATTGCTATATCAATTAAATTCGTCATTCAGATTAGTAATATATTAACTTTCGGACGTGTTACGCCCTAGCCTATTTTATAAATTTTTATTGTTTTCAATGAATATTCAACTTAAACTATTGATAATAAAATTTGATTTGTGCGAATGTACTCACCCATAAAATGGCAATGCCCAGCAAAACTCCAAATATTTTCGCATTAATTTCCGAGTTGTGGCAGTCTGTGGCACCCGCTTGAATTGTTCTAAAAGTTTAATTTCGGCTGAATTCTTTTGGCTTATTGGCAACCACAACCAGCTTGAACTTTTAGCAACATGTTTTGGTAGAAATCTTGACTGGTTTTCTCTAAACATTTAATACTTTAGTAAATTGTTAAGAACATTTCATTTTGAGTCTCACCTAAAAAACCCCACAGTGTGGGTGTGGGGGTTATACGGTCCCAGCTCAATTCTAGCTTGTATACCACCTAACATTAACGAATGCACCGGCTCCATAATATATCTTCCATTTAGTACGCAATGCTTCGCTTCTTCATACAGCAGCTCTAGAATCCGATGATCCCTGAATTTGTTTCGCACATAAGTTTGGTTTTTTATTGACCCAAGTGTCTCGACTTACTTGATTTTCTCCTCATCCCGCTTAGAAAAAAATACATTTCGCTTAAGAACTATCATAGGCTCATCATACTTTCTTTCGATCGGATTTCCATTGCTAAATTTTTCCAGCAAGCTAGACCAGGCTACTCGAACAATATATGGACAATGATGCGCCTTCAATTGCATTTCCAGTAGACTACTTGTCATCCATAGTCCAAATATACTTTGAGCTAGCAATTTGTTAGAAATCCCCAATTCTTCGCATCCAAGTGCAGCTGCTAGCATTACTTGAGAGGGACACTGGGCAGTACCTTCAATCTCCATGTGCACGGCGACTCGTGACATCAAGTATACGCAAGTCGGAATTACCTAGTACATTCATAAATTATTCTATAGAATATCTTAATGATCAAATGAAGAACTCACATTCTGAAGAGCGCGGGTAGTCGCCGCATTTGATTTCCCAGCACTAGAGTAGGCGGAAGAAGAATTAACACCAACAGTTCGTTTTGATATCATGGGATTTTTTGCACCATCGTTGTTGCTGTATTTCTGCTGAGCTGGTAAGCAATTTGTAATACCTTAAAAAAAAAAAAATTATCCAGCTGCTTACTAGCTCTATTAAATTACATTACCGGATGAGCTTCGCACTCCAGTCGGTGGTCCAATTGAATTGCCATTAGTCACGATATTACCGCCGAGGTCTGAAATATGCAGACCACTGTGACAAGTGTCGTTGGCCGACATGGACATAGCTGAAGTCACTTGTGCTGATGCCATGCAGTCACTCTCATTTCGACTCGCACTGACAACGCTAGACACGCTCGCAGAGGAAGCAAATGTGCTTCCGGCAGCTGTCTGAATTTGAGCTGTTGTCACCACACGATGCACCGTATACATTACAGGCGGTACAGACACATTGACGGGAACCAATGACACTGGTGTATGAGAGCTCATTTGTTCACATGACGCCACATTAGCATTATTCATATGTGTTTGAGTAGCGGCTACAACGCGGCCATTTCCAGTTGTATTTGAGTATAGTGCACAGTCAATGCCATCATCAATCGCTTCAATCCCTGAGCTCGGGCTGCATGCAGTGGTTTGCTGATTACTCTGTAGCTGATGGCTGTGAGTATTTTGATTGATGTGCAATTGATGCTGAGCGTGTTGATGATTTGGTGTTAACTGTGGCATTGGCTGCTGAGACGGAGTTTCGTTACTACATTTTACATTATTCCCCAGATAGTAGTCTTCACGACACTTAACATCCGTGGTATTGTAGTAGAGGCGAGAACTGTCAAAAAAGGCGAACTGAAACATTTGCTTTATGTCGAATCAAATGCGTCGACTTACTGATAATCCTGGGATACTGACTTCTTTCGATTATACTGCAAAGTGCCCATTGGCACAGTCATTACATTTATATAGTTTCCTGCATTATTCGAATTATTACATTGACTACTGCTATTGCAGTTAGAAAACGTATATGGACTACCCAAGCTTCTGTTTGCTATCTGCGATTTACTGTTGCTTCCATTTTTTGAAGGCATATCCCTCCCGGTGAATCCCGTCGATTCTGCATGAGTCGAGCTACACGGTATATACTCCTGACCGACATTGCTCTCATAGCACATTTTATTCACGGGCTGTTGAGAAACTGTTGATGCAGTCAGATTCTGCTGTGGTCCGCTTCGACAATAATATTGATTCGTCTCCATTTTGTCATATTCTATAATTAAATCAACTGAATTGTAGTCTTTGTAATGCTTATGTATTTTCAGTTTTCTCATCAAAAGAAAACTTCTTCAAAATATAATTATGGAATATTTATTTCAGCTTTATCTAAATACTCTTTTAATACTGAGTGGTCCCACGATTTTTATACCCTGAATCCATTTTCAATGCGAAAGCAGGGTATAATGGTTCTTCAAAATATAATTATGGAATATTTATTTCAGCTTTATCTAAATACTCTTTTAATACTGAGTGGTCCCACGATTTTTATACCCTGAATCCATTTTCAATGCGAAAGCAGGGTATAATGGTTTTGTTGAAATGTATGTAACAAGCTGAAGGAGGCGTGACAGACCCCACAAAGTATATATATTCTTGACCAGGGCGACGAGCTGAGTTGATTTAGCCCTGTCCGTCTGTCTGTCTGTCCGTCTGTCAGTATGCTTAAACGCGTCGATTTCAGAAAATACAAGAGCTAGAGACCTTAGTTTTTTTGTAAAATGTCCGTGTATACCACGCGGATGTCGAGTTTTGCTTTAAAAATCGATAACCTGTCCCGTTATTTTTTATCGATAAAAACCCTTATCAAAAATCAGTTATAAAATGATAACTCCTACAACTTTAAACCTAGTCTCCAACTTTTTAATGTAGATTTTTATGCATTTTATACAATTTCGGTTTTTGTTCATCCTTCATCATTCCCTCATCCAAATATTTTTAAAAGGCGTATTTAAAAGGCGTATTGTGTGTGTGTGTGTGTGTGTGTGTGTGTGTGTGTGTGTGTGTTTGTGTGTGTGTGTTTGTGTGTGTGTGCGTGTGTGTAAGTAAAACGACGCGAAAAATGATTGAAATAGCTATCTCTCGAAGGGTTCAAGGGATCTCGTAGTCGAGCAGTCTCGACTAGAGCTTTTATACTTATTTGGAAATGTATTTTATTGATTCCTTGAATCACGTCAGATAAAACAAATTAGAGTCGTATTGATATTAACTTTTATAATACATACTGATACTGGCACCCTTATGACCTCACGGTGTACTAGCCACGCTTAAGAGACGATAACCAATAGACAGGATTTATCGAAAAAATTATTAACTTGTCTGCGTATGATGCACACGATATACACGAGTGTATGTTTAAAATTTCATTGCTGACCAAAATACGGACGAAAAGACAGGCAGACATCGCTACATTGACTTAGCTCGCAATTCTGATCAGGACATAGACATATATATTTTATGAAGTGGTCACGCCTCCTTCTTTTTGCGAAATTTTTATAGCCTAATTATTATTATTATCCATATTTCAATGGATTAAATTTCAGAAGATATCGAATACATTTTATTGGATTTTTTATGAACCATTTATGATTACGAAAATCTAGTAATATACAAAAATAATTGTATCTCTTTAAATCGGTTAAATTCAAGTAAATATTGAAAAATACAGAAGAATATTTAAAAATAAATGTATATATTTTGTAAATAATATTGATTGTTTTACTTAGGTTCAACGCCATTCATTTTAAAGAGCCTGAGCTTTTGCTGTGTTGCGATGTATGAATATGAAATAGGTAGGAGTGACTTAGTATGAACGGCCCGGATATAAGATAACCTGAATACAACGAAGAGCCAGTACTCCAAAGAGCTAGACAATAAACGGAAATGTACGAAACAAGCGATCTGAAAGAAGTTATCAAAAAATGCAATAAAAACAACTATTTCACTCTTTGGTTCCTACCCAATACTCAAATTTCAAACCTGGTATCAGACCATCTTAAACGATGTTACTGAATAAATTTAAATAACCAAAATAAACAAAACAATAATTTTCCATTCTCAGAGATACTTTTATTTGCACATTAAATATCATTTTACAAAACAATTCATCTCATTTTCCAATTTTCAATAGGGATTGCCGACCATTATAATAATGCATTTATTATTAATTTATTAAGACACGCCTAAAGTACCTGTCTTTGTCTTTGTTATCAATTCGGCAATTCAACATTTCTTTCTTTACTTTGCCATTTCTAAAATCTATAAATTATTATTTTTCGTTATTAAACCTTGCTAAACGAGCATTTCTTCACTTTAATCAGCATTTTGCACAAAATCGTATAATTTAATCAATGTGTGTTTAAAACTGTGTGCGAGTTTATCTACACATCCTTAAAAATTTTATATGACTTGGAATTCTTACATATGTACGTACATACATACATATATGTACACAAACACCCATGTAGGTATACTTAAAGTCCTTAGCAAACATTCTGGTAGAAGAAAGTACAAGTTGACTCGTGCACTACTTCAATTTTCGATGTATACAAATATGTAAGTGTTCACACACAAACACACACCCGATTTACCTAACATAATATAATTTGTCTGAATAATTTTAATATTCACTAGCACTTCAATATTTGTTAAAAATATTGATAAATTGATCAATCTATGTGCTTGTCGTAAACGAAAAAGTGAGTAAAGCCCCCAATCCCTGAATATCCATAATTTTTTCTTCTCCATATAATGATGTTTATGGTGCACTAACTCACCTTGTTACCTTCATTGCTTTTTAATCTGTATATGAGTGTCCCAGTTTTCTTCTAAATTATCATACTTTTCAGAGTCACGATTTAGAGTATTAAACAAATAATAAAACACAATTAGAACTAAGATGTATTCAATACATTTCGTACACTAGAACAAACTCTAGTAAACAAATACATGTATACTTGATTCCAGACTGGTATGTCTGTGCTTTCGTGTCGTGAACTAGCGCATGCGCAAGCAAACAAACTTCTGCATATTTCGATTACTGCATTGAACGAATATCGAATTCCCATGTCCGTCCAGTTTTTAGAATGAAAAATGTAGAAGAATTAGTAGAAGTAATATTACAATTATTTCCTAAACCCGTAGCCCTGGCCCTAGACTCATTCATGTAAAAGGATAGAAATGCTATTGTAACGAAAAAACAAATTCAGATGATAAAATGAGTTAACCAAGTCAGAAAAGTGTCTTTACAAATTTAGTATTTTTTAATGTTCTTTTGTCACTAGATGGCTAGCCGATCCAAAGACTCGTGCCAAATCTGTTCACCACTCCAAGCTGCAACGCAAATTTCTTTGCTCCTTAACCCTTTATATGGCACCACGTCGTATTTTGACGCGGTTTGTTGTATTAGATAGAAAACTGAAAATAAACAAGTTAGAAAACTCTAGTCGAGAGTGCTCGACTAGATACTACCCTGAACCAAACTAATAACAAGTAAGAAAATTCTAGTCGAAAGTGCTCGACTAGATACTACCCTGAACCCAACAAATAAAAATGCCCATTTAGTACGGCTGAAATTTCAATTTCGATGTATTTAAAAATATAAATAAAATACAAAACTCATTTAATAAAATTTAAAAATATTTTGAAACAATTAAAAATGTTAACATC